TCGAAGCTTGGATCTGTTACTTAGATTTGTCGAGAATGTTTTTAGAAAGATTTCAAAGAGAGCAAGGAAAGCCGTCCGATCGATTTTACCTGTTTCGATCTCTACCAAGCTCGTAAGCCTCCACAGTCTTCGATTGACATTGATGATCTTTTAATCAAATCGAAAATTCTTTGAGAATCTCAATCAATTCCAATTTAGGTGGGTTTCTCAGTGAATGGAGTACTTATTCTTGCATTTTTGTGGATCTTGAAAGCATTCCTTGAGGTAATTACTATACTCTAAATCTATTGAGTTATAAAGAATTGTTCTTGAACTTGGAACATTTGTGCCTGTACTTGATTGTTGTATCTTCGTTATCGAATTCATTGACTATGGCAGAGTTCTGTATCTATCTACCATAAAGTTTGAATAGAGAAGTTAGCACCAAGCTTAGAAATGTGTTGATGAGTTGTAGTGAATCCAGTTTCATGGAAAAAACAAAGTTATGCTAAGAATGTCCAACTAAATAGAAAATGTTACTCTGAACTCAAGTTAAGCACCACGTCTCTGTTTTCTCTTGACTTTGCTTACCTGTATTAGTAGATAGGCATGTGTGTCAATGGGTATGCATTTGTGCATCAAGATAAAAAAAAAATGTACTCTACTAGGCTTGGCTCTCTGTTTTTGAATACTTGAGCTAATGTGAATGTTCTTCTATGTTTAGGCTTACTTTATGTCTTCTAAAGAGAGCAGATTGTTGTGTTACTTAAGTGTTGACTGATTTTCGTGGTGGATTAATGTAATTTCTCTGGTGGAACGCAGGTAGCTTGCACGCTTGGAACTATTGTATTTACGAGCATTCTACTTATACGTGGACTTTGGGCCGGTGTAGCATACGTACAAGAGAGCCGCAACAATAGGATCAATGAACTCGCTGATGATCCGCGTGCATGGAACGGGGTGCAACCAGCTTCTTGATTAATCTACCTTTACTGTTCAGGAATCAAAATTCTGACTTTTGGGGTGCCAGAATTGGTTCCAAGGCAATAAAACCACAGCTGATTTCAGAATCAGAAAGGAGTTACAAACTTACAGTGGATGGTCTTTAGCAATGTCTGATGATTTAGCAAGTACAAAAATTTAATATTTGTAGCATTCACTAAGTTAGCTATGGATGCTTCTTGTGTGTAGCTCAACCGGGAATTAAGTCGTCACCAATGGTTTGCGTGACCTTATTTCCTAGCTTCCAAATATATAGAAATCAATTTTTCACTCTCCCAATACCTTAAAGCCGATAGTTCAATATATCAATGATACTCCCTCCCACNACTTTCAACTTGACGGCTCATCAGTCACCGGAATATTGGCCTATTCTGATTTAGATGAGTCACCGGAATTTTGGCGTATTCTGATATAGATTGTCCACAACATGAACATATGTAATATGAGCCCAATTGTTATTAGTAGCCCATTAGGTGTTTTTGTGTATCTCATACGTATCTCTGTATAATTTGTATATTTCTCATCAGTGATAATCAAGTCTTTCATAATTTACA